CTAGTGGTGAAAATAGCCCGATTTTTGGCCGCTAGCGGCGATAATTGAACGATTTTCGGCCGCTAACAGCGAAAATCGCCCGATTTTGGGACCGTTTGCGGCAAAAATCGCCCGATTTTTGGCCGCTAGCGGCGAAAATCGCCCGATTTTTGGGCCGCTAGCGGCGAAAATCACCCGATTTTTTGGCTGCTAGTGGCGAAAATCACCCGATTTTAGGCCTCTAGCGTCGAAAATCGCCCGATTTTTGGCCGCTAGGGGCGAAAATCGCCCGATTTTTGGACGCTACCTGCAAAAATCGCGCGATTTTTTGCCGCTAGCGGCGAAAATCGCCCGATTTTTGCCCGGTAGTGGCGAAATTCGCCCGATTTTTGGCCGCTACCGGTGAAAATCGGCCGAGTTTTGGCCGCTAGTGGTAAAAATCGTCAGATTTTTGCCCGTTAGCGGCGAAAATCGCGCGAATTTTGACCGCTAGCAGCGAAATTCGCTCGATTTTTGGCCGCTACCTGTTAAAATCGCTCGATTTTTGGCAGCTAGAGGCGAAATTCGCCCGATTTTTGGCCGCTAGCGGCGAAAATCGCCAGATTTTTGGCTGGTAACGGCGAAAATCGCCCGATTTTTGGCCTGCTAGTGGCAAAAATCGCCCGATTTTTGGTCGCTAGGGGCGAAAATAGCCCGTTTTTTGGCTGCTAGTGGCGAGAATCGGTGGATTTTTGGCCGCTAGCAGTGAAAATCGCCCGATTTTTTTACGCTAGCGGCGAAAATCGCCCGATTTTTGGCAGCTAGCGGCGACAATAGCCTGATTTTTGGCTGCTAGTGACGAAAATCGGTATATTTTTGGCCGCTAGTGGTGAAAATCGCCCGATTTTTGGACGCTACCAGCGAAAATCGAACTATTTTTGTCCGCTAACAGCGAAAATCGCCCGATTTTTGGCCGTTAGAAGCAAAAATCGCCCGATTTTTGGCCGCTACCTGCAAAAATTGCGCTACTATTCTATTCAAATTTGGGCTACTTTCGATACTTTGTAGCCCAAAATTGGACACATGTTTCTAAGAAACATGTTTCCAAGAAACATGTTTCAAAGAAACATGTTTCCAAGAAACATGTTTCAAAGAAACATGTTTTCCAAGAAACATGTTTCCAGGAAACATGTAACATGTTTCAAAGAAACATGTTTCCAGGAAACATGTTTCCAAGAAACATGTTTCCTAGAAACATGTTTCCAAGAAACATGTTTCCAAGAAACATGTTTCCAAGAAACATGTTTCCAAGAAACATGTTTCCAAGAAACATGTTTCTAAGAAACATGTTTCTAAGAAACATGTTTCTAAGAAACACGGTTCCAAGAAACATGTTTCCAAGAAACATTATCCAAGAAACATGTTTCCAAGAAACATGTTTCCAAAAAACATGTTTCCAAGAAACATGTTTCTTGGAAACATGTTTCTTGGAAACATGTTTTTTAGAAACATGTTGGAAACATGTTTTACCCAAACCCCCCTGCAGTTTTCAAAATATCCAAAACATCCCAAATCCGATACCTGAGCCATATTTTGGAGCGAAATTCTTGCTCTCCGCACGTATTTGCAGTTTGAAATTCCGACTTTATATACCGAAAATATGCCAATTACTGAAAGCGGCGGTGGGTCACATTTTGCCCAAACCCCCATGTAGTTTTCAAAATATCCCAAACATCCCAAATCCGATACCTGAGCTATATTTTGGAGCCAAATTCTGGCTCTCTGTACGTATTCGCAGTTTGAAATTCCGATTTTTTACATCGAAAATATGCCAATTACTGAAAGCGGCGGTGGGTCACATTTTGCCCAAACCCCCCTGTAGTTTTCCAAATATCCAAAACGTCCAAAATCCGATAGCTGAGCCATATTTTGGAGCCAAATTCTGGCTCTCTGCACGTATTCGCAGTTTGAAATTTCTACTTTTTATACCGAAAATATGCCAATTACTGAAAACGGCGGTGGATCACATTTTGCCCAAACCCCCCTGCAGTTTTCAAAATATCCCCAACATCCCAAATCCGATACCTGAGCCATATTTTGGAGCAAAATTCTGGCTCTCTGCACGTATTCGCAGTTTGAAATTCAGAATTTTTATACCGAAAGTATGCCAATTACTGAAAGCGGCGGTGGGTCACATTTTGCCCAAACCCCCCCTGCAGTTTTCAAAATATCCCAAACATCTCAAATCCGATACTTGAGCCATATTTTGGAGACAAATTCTGGCTCTCTGCCCGTATTCGCATTTTGAAATTCCTACTTTTTACCCCGAAAATATGCCAATTTCTGAGAGCGGCGGTGGGTTACATTGTAACCAAACCCCCCAGCAGTTTTCAAAATATCCCAAACATCCCAAATCCGTATTTGTAAGGACATCCGTAAGGACACTGGCATGTAGTTCAGTGCCTCCTGGCTTTCACCCTTTTTGTATATTGGGACCACATTAGCTGCCTTCAATAATTCTGGTATGTCTCCTGTCTCCAGTGACCTACTATACACTATGGAGAGTGGCAACCAGAGTGCCTCTACACACTCTTTCAGTACCCACGGTTTCAATACCCTTGGCTGTGGGTCCCATCTGGACCAACATCCTTTCTCACATCCAGATCCAACAGGTGTCTCTTGACCTCATCTCTCGTAATTTCGAACCCTTCCAAGGCCGCCTGGTTTACTGCCCCCTCTCCTAGCGCAATAACCTCACCATGTTCTATTGTGAAGACCTCCTGGAACCTCTTGTTGAGTTCCTCACACACCTTTTTGTCATTCTCTGTATACCTGTTCTCGCCTGTTCTAAGTTTCATTACCTGTTCTTTCACTGTTGTTTTCCTCCTGATGTGACTGTGGAGTAGCTTTGGATCGGTCTTGGCTTTGCTTGCTATATCATTTTCATAAGTTTTTCTCTGCTTCCCTTCTCACACTAACATACTCATTCCTGGTTCTGTGGTATCTCTCTCTGCTTTCTGGTGTTCTGTTATTTCGGAAGTTCCTCCACGCCCTTTTGTTCAGTACCTTGTGTTATTATTATTAACATCTTTATTGACAAAATTAATTACAATTTTGCCTAATCTGAGGATTTTGATAGTCTTATTAAATTGAGGTTAATGCTAGTATTCACTGTCACGCAGGACAGAGGGTCATACATAAGACAATAGGCCTAAACTGTAGGCTGAAGCACATATATATCACGGTTACAATCAATGTTTTAATGTGTGGATATGTGAAAACAACTTTCTATTGTGCACTGCCACACAAGTGCAGGGATGGGTTCATAAGTGATACAGCTTAGAATATAAGTAGAAATTGTTCTTCATTCTTTAAAATGGACAAGCAAATTTTGGGTAAATTGTTAGGATGTCGTCCTGAGTCAATAAAATAGTTACACAGTTGGTGGTACAATAGGCCAGGAGGTCTAAAGTCCTTTACGGTTTCACATTCATCAATATAGTGTTCTAGTGAATGCATTAAAGGTTTATCACAGAGTTTACAATCTGAATATTCTGGTAGTGGCTCAGCCTCACTAACCTGCCAGATGTGTCTATAGCCAAGGCGAATTCGCGCGATTACTACATCACATTGCCTGGTCCGGTTACTGTGCTGACCATACAAATACCTATTAGTACCTTGTGTTGATACTTTGAATACCCTATTAATATTCTCCTTTGTTATGTGCATTCATCCACTTGTAAACCTCTATCATGTCACCCCTAACTCTTCGCCTTTCCAGTGAATGCAATTTAAGCTTTCTCAATCTCTCTTCATATGACAAGTTTTTAATTTGGGGAATTAACTTAGTCATCCTACGCTGGACACATTCAAGGGAATTTATATCTATTCTATAGTACGGCGACCAAAACTGAACTGCATAATCTAAATGGGGCCTAACCAGAGCAAGAAATAGCTGAAGAACAACACCAGGTCTCTTGTTACTAATGCTTCGATTAATAAATCCCAGTGTCCTATTTGCCTTATTACGAACATTCAAGCATTGATCCTTTGGTTTTAAATTCTTACTAATCATAACTCCCAGATGCCTTTTGCAATCTCTACACCATCTAGCTCGTATCTTGTAACTCTATCATCATTACTTAGCCTCAGAACTTTCCATTTATCAGCATTAAACTGCGTCTGCCAATCTTTTGACCATTTCAAAACCCTATTTAGATCAACTTGAAGTGATAGTGAGTCTTCTTCCGTGTTAATTTCCCTCCCGATTTTTGTATCATCGGCAAATTTGCAAATGTTGCTACTCAAACCTGAATCTAAATCTTTTATATACATTATAAACAACAGAGGTCCCAGGATAATAACTACCTCTCACAGGATATGGGAAGCACAATAAACTACCTCTTTTTATTGTTCCAGGACAATAAACTACCTCTCACAGGATATGGGGTTCACAATAAACTACCTCCCACAGGATATGGGGTTCACAAAAAATTATCGCTCACAGGATATGGGAAGCACAATAAACTACCGCTCACAGGTTTCTACCTTATTAAATACATTTTGGTTCGTGGAAAAATGGCAACCCAAGACACCGAGACTATAGTTTCAAGTCTGTCGATACAAGTAAAAAATATAATTTACTTGAGGGCAATCGTCGCTATAGTGGCCTCTGATGTCTATTATCTTACCCAGTAATTTGTGCCATGAATTCAACACTCATATTTACAATCCAGTATTTATCCATTTATTTTGTATTTATATACCCGACTTGGTGCCTTCTTTAATAATTACTTACTTGTATTTATATATATGTGGCACCATAATAACAAAAATGTCAATTAGACTTTATCCTTTTCAGATATGCTGACATATTTTAGCAACGTTTTGAAAACTAAATAAGCCCGTTATCTTTGCACGTGTCCGATTCCATCACATTATGCTTGAATTTGTGAAAAAAATTGTTATAGTAGGATTATATGTAGCAGGAAAAGCCACAAAAACTGCACATTAAAGACAAGAAAGGATATTTATGTTATCCGTCAATTAGACAACGGTGATGTTGAGTGCAAGTGTGCATGTGAGTGTGTGAGAATGTGCATGAGAAGCGAGGAGTGTCAACAAGGACGGACCGTCAGCTGGGACATGTAAACACGCCGATCTGGATGACGTTGTACAGGTTACTAAGAGTAGTGCTACTGGGGATTATGGTGATGCATGTTGTGTGTGTAGAGGGCCAAGAGTAGTATGTAGCAAGTTGTTGTTTTAGATTTAGCTACTCTGAACAAAATGTTCCAAATAGCACGGGCTATTGTGAGCCCGTAAGTGGAGGTTCTTTGGAGCCATTATTTGTATAAATAGATGATACTGGGGATGGGGTCCGTGGACGCGCCAATCCAATCCAAGAAAATAAGGCTAGTCAGACCGGTGAATTGAAGGGGTACAGACGTTGCTCACAGTTGAGTGCCACAGGAGTCAGCAGGGCTGTTGACGGGGATGGCCACAGTCGGCCGGTCTAGGGGCAGATGTCTGAATGTTGCAAGAGAATTGGTTTCCTTATCATAGTTCCCCAAAGTTGGTAGTCTGGTCGAATTTCCTTCTTCAAGGCGTCGTAGTCGCAGAGGTGGTCAAGGCATTCTAGAGGGATGACCATGTGAAGAATCCGTCCTGCTTCCCTGCACTTGTCTTCCTAGTAGTCATTTTGGATTATGGAGTTATGCTGTCTGTCCTCCTTGTAAAGTACATGGCCACGTTGGATATATTGTACCCAGAGGAGGCAGCATGGGACTCTGTCAGTCTGGTTGGTGTGGGATCTGTTGCCCGAGCGGCCGCATGAGGGGCGGGAGAACCGGTAACAACTGAACCATGGAAGTCGGGTGAGTCATCATGGTCAGTTTCCTTGGGCTTGTTTTTGGATTCGGTCGAGTCTTTGGAGTTGGTCGAGTCGTCGGAGTCAGCTTCGTCATCCTGATCAGCTGTCCTGGTGCTGCTGCCATCCCTGTCAGTGGGACAAACTTGAGAACAGCGGAGTCGCTGTGGCCAGATGGTGAGGGCTCCCCTAGGGGCCAGCGCAGGGATCCCTGGGGTGGAGGGTCCGGTAGCAGTTGTGGAAGCTGGAAGATCATCGGGAAAAGCAGCTGTCGGAAGTCCATTTGCCACAAGCAGCCTGTTGATGTAGCTGTAG